ATGCTGCATTTTGCCCCAGGTACAAATGGTTTGCCCACTTTGCACTCAGACGCGCTGTGCAGGCTTGGCAGAGTCTGCAGTCCTGCAAGCAGGGACAACAGAGCTGAGTCAGGAAGATGCGTTCAGTGAGGCACAATGGGAATGCTATCTCACCCTTAACTGACAGGATTTCCCTAATCACACCCTAAGCACACCCTGCCAGATTCCACAAGCAGTAGTACAGCCATCACATCTAGTCCTGTAGCAGCGCTTCACCACGCTTCCACCTTGCAAATGCCTGGGAAGCCACAAAGAGGGACAAAGTCTGACTCAGAGCTTGCAATCCTTTTCCTAAAAACAGTCCCTCAGTGTACTTCTTCATTCATTTCCATGCAGCTCGTTCAGTCCCTGCTGTGGCTAAATGCACTGTCAAACACTTTTTACGATCCCTCAGTGAATGTTAGCAGCTCTACACAGCTGCTCAGCTCCTGAAAATGCACAGAAGTGTACCACGTAGCCATTGCCATGAAATGCTTCACATGGCTACAACTACACAGTGATTTTCCCACTGATGGCAGGAGTGCAAAGCATCAGCAAGTCTGCAAACGTAACAGTCTCATTCCTCAGTCTGCCTAGAGGAACTGAATGGGATCTCAGGTCAAGAGGTGACAAACCCTGGGACCAGGTAATGTGTCAAGAAAATCCCTGTATGGAGAAAGTACTCTTTGCTCTGCCACACTGCAGAACTTCTCTTGACTCAGAAGAATTGCTTTAGATTAAAATGGGAATGAATAAGAGTAGAATTATCCGGTAATGTTTTCATCATCTGCAGAAAGACCTCGTCATGGTATGATCATGGATTGACCTTCCACGATCATACTGGCCAGTTGAAGCCCTGGGAAAGGACAGGCTATAGTCTAGTTCTCAGGTGACTGTGAAAGTCAGATAATTAGAGAGAAACAAATGTACTGATAACAGACTGAAAGACACTCTGTTGTGAAGCTCCACCTTCATCTCCCTTGCTTACAGAAAAAGCAAAAAGCACACAGATAACTAGTATCTCCCTATTACAGCTGTGAATAGCCCTCACTAAAATCTCCATCTCTGTTTTCAGAGAGAAGAAAAATGACCTTTAATCTGCTTGCTTTACAGAGACACTCTAACATATTATGGATATTCATTATTTAACTTATTAATGAATCCCACAATGAGGTGAGAAGGAGAAGCGTGTAACAAACTGTAATTTAAAGTGTCATTTAAGTCTCTAGTTCAGATCTAGAGCCCACATGCCTAACTGTCAGAGCCCCGGACGGCCCTAACGAGGCCGGCTGCGCTAACGAGGCAGCGACTTCCAGGTGCCGCGGGGCCGCGCACAGCTGCGCCTCGTCGGGAGCCCCGGGCGGGACCCGCCCCAAAGCCTCGCAAAGCCTCTTAAGCTCCGCCGGAGGCTGCCGGGAGCCACGGGCGGCTTCCTGCGGCTCTTCGTTGGGGATGGAGCGGGCTCTGTTTCTTACGACCGGTCCTAGCGCTGCCGGAGCTGAGAAGCGGTACGAGGGACGAGGGTCTGCTTTTAAAATAGAGCCTTGGGATTCTCTTTAATGTTCTTGTTGTGTCGTTTTGTTTCAGGCTGCTGTGAGACCTCTCGCGATAAGGATCAGCCCAAACCGGTGAGCGGTTCTGGTAGTAAGGGGGTCGTGGAGGCGGCGGGGTTCGGGAGCCGTGAGGGTCTCTTGGGCCGGAGCAGGAGGCTGCCGGGCTGTCGGACCCCGCTCTTCCCGGGGCCGGCATAGGGCTGCCGCCGGGCTTCCCTGACTGTTTGCAGCCGATGTAGCGTCGTTGCCCGGCTCCCATCGCGTTTTCGGAGGGGGCTGCCGCTTAGATCCCCGAGTCCTAGCACAGCCCCGGGGTGCTTTCAGCACCCCCTTCCCCACCTCTTTGTTCCGTTGTTGTGTTTTTTTTTAAGTGGTTCAGTTCTTCCAACCCTCATCGGTAGGAGCGAGTGGAATGAGGCTGTATTCCTGCAGCCTCGGTGCTGCTAGGAGTAAGAAGCAACGCAAAGGATGCTGCTGGAACAGAAGTTTTCTCCTATTCTCAGGCTGAGTAACGGCTGTAGCAGAGCCTCTCGTCAGCCCAAACCGGTAAGCTCGTGGAAGCGGTGAGTGTTTGGGAGTCACTTGTTAAAATCTCCGTTCTTGCAGCTTATATAGGGCTGCTGCTCGGCTACTTTTGTGTCGCTGGGATCGGCACGGCGCTGCTTCTGGGCTCCCGCGTGGCTTTTTAGAAGGGCCGGCACAGAGTTGCTGCCCAACAGCCTGAGAACGAGTATGACCCCGGGTGGCCTCAGCCCCCGAGGAGGGTTTTGGGGGTGCTTCAGCTCCTACTGCTTTTGTTAGTTCTTTCCCACTGGGATAACTAATTAAATAAGAACAGTTGATTGTTACCAATGCTGATAGGGGAAACTATCAGCAAGGGTGTTGCAATGCACACAGATCACTTATTCAGGTGCAAGGAAGATGGGACCATATTTTTTTTTTTTTCCTCTTTTTCCCCTTCTTCATGTGTAACTACGGGAGCACAATTTCATTCCCATTGTGGAGACCTGGTGGGGCAGCTTGCACAACTTGAATGCTGTTGTGGATGGCTCTGTTCTTTTTAGGAAAGGCACTCTGGCAAGGTGGTGGAGTCTCTCTTCCAATTGAGAGAACAGGAATGTATTGAGCTCTGCCTAGGGATGTAGGAAGAACTAGTGGAGTGCTTGCATGTGAGGCTCAAGAGGCAGGTAAATGTGGGTAACATCACTGGGGGTGTTGGTTACAGACCAGGATGAGGAAGTTGATAGACCTTCTGCACACAGCTGAAAGTAGCCTCACAGCTGTGGGCATTAGTTCTCATGGTAGATTTCGTTAGAGGTGGGTTGTGTCTTTTTGCAGTGGATATTTCCAATATTTCTCACTGGTAAATGATAGGGAGATTAATGCTAGTTCTCCAGATAGTGACTTTCCTCCAGGAGAAAACCTGGAGGATGTGAGAGCACAAAAAGACAAATTAGAGAACCTGGTGACCCTTCTCTGCTCTCTGATAGAAACTGGGCATGCCATATAAAGGGAGTAAAGGTGGGAGGAGGTGAGAGTGAAGTATTGAGGAGGTCCCCTATTCTGCCACTGAGCTGGCCAAATTAAAGAAAGACTTTAGTCATGCCTGTGGGAAATCGGATGCAGAGTGTGTTTGGGAAGTGCCACTACTGGGGAGAAGAGATCCCACTGATTGAAAAGCAATCAGAGGGTTACTGAGGACCTGGAATATTTTTCCCTGCTGGCAACCACTGTACCCTGTGGTCCCTTACTCAAAGAACTGCTTATTGGGAGATTACTCCCTGGGACAACTGATGTTGATTTGACTTGCTGCACATTGGTCCTGTCCCTTTAACCCTCAAAAAGCCTCTTAATGAACATAGCTGGAAGGTTCAAGATGATCAGGGGAAAATGTACACTCGCCTTTTAACTATTGTTCACTTGGAGCAGGAAAGTTGTTGATTTTTTTTTTTTTTTCTTCTCCAGTTATGCTTTCTCTAATCTTGGTTCCTTGGGAACCAGGAAGTTCTCTCTCTTGTTTTCCAGGTATACTGATCGTCTTGCTGTGCCTCACGTGTTCCCTGTTCACCCTGCTCCTTTCTCTGAGATCCCTGTGGTATCACTAATGTCACTGTTTCAGACAGGTATCTTCTTCAGAGTAATATTTGTATTTGCTTATGTTGACCCTGTCACGTTCACTGGCTGGTCGTGGTCCTGTTCCCGTACTGGGTGTGTGGGACTGAATTCTAATTCTAACAGAGGCTTAACCTTTTCAACCATGGTTAAGCACAGTGATGAAGTATGTTCAGGAAAATCAATGGGGCTGGGATAGTACTGGCCAACTCCTGAAACTCTGGGGAGATGCAGGACAAAGAATAAAAGTAGGATGTCAGATGAATGAGTGATCTATGTGCATTGCAACACCCTTGCTGATAGTTTTCCCCTATCAGCATTGCTAACAATCAGCTGTTCTTATTTAATTACTTATCTCAGTGGGAAAGAACTAATATAAGAGACCTCCAGTTAATTGTAGATTGCACTTGTCATAAATCAAATAATGTCTTCCTAGCTCTTGTAGAAGATAAAGGAAATGCTTTACCCACTGAAATCTGAAAGGTGATTTGGGACAGTGCAAACAAACTTGGAAGAGAATTTCAGTCTTGGTGGCATCTAGTTAATTTTGCTTATGATCCTGCTAAAACAATGCAGCGTCTGTTGTAACACAAGCAATGCTTTGGTACAGCCATGTACCCAATCACTGTGCAAGGACTGAATCACTGGGGTTTTGCCCTATTCATTACAACACAGAGTTTGGGCTCAATAAAATGGAGACAAATTTTTGGGGGGTTCGTGTGCTGTATGGAAACAACAAAGATTTACTTGTGAGAGTAATACCATCAAGACTTGAGACACTTGTCTCGATCCTGAGCAAAATATTTGCCATTTTTAGAGGTATCCCAATGAGACCCCTGAAATAGTGCTCATCTATATTGGAAAAGGATGTGTGTGTATGAGAACCTCTTATAATTTTATTTTCATAGATAGTATTACTGTAGATATATGCAATCATTCAAGTGTGTGTTTGTAACTTTACTAATATTATGAGATGTGACTCTAATTATTCAGTTCCAGTTATGTCCTATCAGTTGCTGTGGTGCAATTATACATCAATCTAAGATTTGCCACCTGCCCCAATTGGAATGAATTTATCTCTGGTAAAGAAGAAATTATTGCAATGTGACAATCTGTACTGACAGAATGCATCCAAGATAGTGGACAAAAATTTGATTACTATTTATCATGATACAGAAGAGATGCATCATGTCCTGGAAAGGGTGAAGAACACCACTCCTTGGATGGTCACCAACAGGAGTTTTTAATTCTGTGCTTCACCCAGTTGTTGTGATATTATTAATCCTAATGTTGATATGTTTATTGCTTGCAGGGGCAAATGAGGAACTCATGGATGAACTCAAAGGGAAGAAGGAAGAGGTGGCGTGAGGAAGGCTAAGGCCCTCTCATCACCTTTAGGAGGGAGATCAAGGCTAACAGGAAAAAGGTTAGAGAATGTGTGGGCCTCTGCCTTACAAGGTGGAGGCCCCAGTAATGGAGGATGCATTTCTGCTTTCAGTTGCTGCTGCTGAGACTGCTCCTTGGGAACCCTGGAGGAAAGATGACTTCATGATTGTGGAAGAGCTGATCAAAGGTAGCTTTGGCAGAATGGATGCCAGCAAATGCCTGTGTGTGCTGAGGGAGCTGGCAGAGGTGACTGCCAAGTGGCTCTCTATCACACTTCCTCTGCTCTTTCCTACAGGAGGGGTGCATGAAGACTGGAGAATAGCTGATGTCACTGCAGGCTTCAGAAAGGGTGAGAAGGCTGGCATCACCTCTGTTCCTGGAAAGATGTTGTATCAACTTGTTCCAGATATTATCTCTAGGTGACAGGAAGAGAAGAAACTTCTAAGGAGCATTGCAAGGTGAGTTCACTGAGGGGAAATTGTGCTGGGTCAAATGGTGGCATGGGAGCAATGTTCATGGACTCGAACAGCATTTCTCTGAGAGGGCTGGAGCCTGTTCCGGTTGTGTTAAGATGATGTGTATCTGTGGTCTTATTGCAGGGTGAGGGCTGGCTGGAATACATGACTGGTTTTGCCAGTGGTGAGAGATAAGGATCCATGGGTGTGGAGTCTCCTGCTGATTCAGGATTGGAGGATCCCAGTGGTGGAGTAAGGTGAGCTGTATCTTTTGTATTTCTTATCTTTGTGCTGGTCCTGGGATGGTGTTTGTGGTTTGGAGTGGGTGATGTGCTTTCCTTACAGGCCTGAAGATGTGTGGCAGGTCCTGTCTTGGAGGAATGAAGTGAGAGCAGCCCCTGTCCTGGTTGAGGGGTGTTATCTGGTGAAGGAGTGTATTGGGAGGTAGTGTCTTGTGGCAAGTTGGTTTGCTTGTCTTTTTTGCTTTGGAGGTGGCTTTGAGGTCATTGGTAGTGAGCAGCCAAAAACACAGCCTGCCCAAGTGGGGTGGCTGTGTTTTTGGCTGCTGGTGTGGGGCTGTTTGCTGGGGTTTGCACTATCTCAGAGAGATTATTTTT